GGAAGAGGGCAGTTCAGAGTTGTCCACAAAGTAGTGCCTGAGAGAGCGCAAATTACGAAAGAAAACACCCTCTACCTCCCAACCCTTCCTGATCCGGTCATTGGAGCTATGGGAAATCAGTTATGGAGAAACTCCGCCAGACTAAAAAGCCCCCCCCCCCCTCCTGCGTTGAATTCCTGGTCAAGCGCGGCATTGTGATTCCAATCATACATAATTCCTTCCACAAAATGCAAATGCACCCATTTCAAATGAACTTCACAAGTCAACTATCTCCTTCACTAAATCAAGAGTAGAAATGAACGTGGGACCTGGATGATTCGATACCGTGACAACACACTCTACAAGTTGGAATCCGGACATTAATTGAGGTGCATGATGTAAGATTCACCTTCCCAAAATTGTGACGCCCTGGGTCTTAATCCTGTACTCTACCTTGCTCCATATTGCACGATTCACTAATGTAGGGGCAGGGAGAATCAGGGCGTATGCGTAAGAGAAATTTGCAGACTTGACCAGATCCTAACATTTTACTCTAAACTTCTTCCCATGGTTGGTGTCGACCAACCTATAATAGATGGTGCGGGAAGGTAAAACGAAAGCAAACCGAACCATTGCGTAAAACCAGGCGTGAGATCATTCGCTACTATTCAAATGCAGGACTACACGAAGAATTTATCGTATGACATCGACTAGACTCACCGCGCTTGCCGTCGAGTCCTGGCAGACCTTGTTCTCCTGGGAGTCCAGGTAGTCCGGGTTCTCCACGTGGACCGGGAGGTCCAGGGACACCAGGGTATCCATCACTTCCTCGTTCTCCCGGTAGTCCTGGAGCACCAGGTAAACCGTCTTTACCTGGCAGACCCGGCTCTCCAGGTGGTCCTGGTTTTCCGTAGGCATCAGGTCCAGGTGGTCCAGGTGGACCGTCTTCTCCCGGTGGTCCTCTTAGGCCAGGGATACCATCTTTTCCTGGGTATCCTGGTGGACCCTGTTCTCCTCTTTCACCTTTCAGGCCTGGTAGTCCTTCACGTCCGGGAAAACCAGCGTCTCCGTCAGGTCCAGGCGCTCCGGGGATGCCTAAGTCACCCTGAAAACATTTTCAATGTTCGTTTTTATCAGTGCCGAAACCGCAAAGAAACTTACGGGAGGGCCCATTTCTCCTGGTTCGCCAGGGTAGCCTGGAAGTCCCATTTCTCCTCTTTCACCCTTCAGTCCAGGCATTCCAGGGGCTCCGGGTAATCCAGGCAGACCACTTTCTCCAGGGAGACCAGGATAGCCCTTCTCTCCTTCAGGTCCTGGAGGACCCTGAAATGCGTAATGTAGTTGTGATAATCTCGAGTTGCATATAACGAAAATCTTACGGGAGGTCCAGGAAGACCAGGTGCTCCAGGGAGTCCGTCGTCACCGCAGTCGCCCTCTGCACCAGGTAGTCCAGGAATTCCGTCTAGGCCGGGAGCTCCAGGATATCCCGGTTCTCCAACTTCACCCTTTAACCCAGGTATTCCAGTCAGGCCAGGAAGACCAGGCTGTCCGGGAGGTCCATCCGCTCCATCGTAGCCTGGCTCTCCCTGCTCACCTGGAGGACCTGGCAAACCTGGATAACTGTCGCCAGGCTCGCCCATCTCACCCTTGGGACCGGGTGGTCCATCGGGGCCGGGGAGTCCAGGAGGTCCTTCGGGTCCTGGATATCCAACATCTCCTGGTAACCCTGGGTGAGCAAGAGATCCAGGCTCTCCAGGAAGTCCCTTAGCACCGGGCAGTCCCGGTTCACCCATCTCTCCTTTCAGACCGGGCAGGCCATCCAATCCTGGTCGTCCAGGGAATCCTGCAAGAGAAAAACATGGTTCATTGATTTATGAATCAAAGGCACAATTAGTGGGAATCCACCTACCGTCTTCTCCAGGCATTCCAGGTAGTCCAGGAAGTCCGTCAAAACCTCTGTCTCCGTCTTCTCCACATTCTCCCTCTTCTCCTGGTACGCCGTCGTCCCCTGCCATTCCCTTTAGCCCAGGGAATCCAATAAGTCCGTCTTCGCCTGGCAGACCGTCAGGTCCCCTTGGTCCTGGTAGCCCTGGATATCCTGGTGGACCCATATCACCAGGGCTGCCTCGTCTTCCTGGTGCCCCGGGCATTCCGGGATTTCCTCGTTCGCCTTTCAGTCCAGGAAGTCCAGGTAGACCGGGTGGCCCTTGAGGGCCTGCTCGCCCGCGTTTGCCGTCGAGACCTGGCAAACCCTTCTCACCAGGGGGACCAGGTAGTCCAGGTAATCCATCCAGTCCAGGCGTGCCTGGCTCTCCTGGGTAGCCCGGAGGTCCTGGAAGTCCTGGGAGTCCCGGTCGTCCTGGCTGACCAGGTAGACCAATATCGCCTTGCTCTCCTTTTGGTCCTGGATAACCAGCCTGCCCTTGGTATCCATAACCTGGCTCTCCCTTTTCGCCTGCAAAAGAACGCTTAACAAGATGTATTAAACAACATCAACCACAGAGTTCGGGAAGATCTTTACAACTTACCGTCTAATCCTGGGATTCCAGGAAGCCCATCAGCACCAGGTTCACCACAGTCACCGTCAATACCGGGCAAACCAGCATCTCCTTGGATACCTCTCATTCCCGGCTCACCTTGAAGGCCTGGGAAACCTGGAAGACCGTCCGCTCCCCGTTCTCCTGGCAGTCCCGGATATCCTTGAGGACCTGGCTGAAATTCATAGTTAAAATCAACGTTGCGATGAGAGAATAGAAGGTCCTTGCTCAACAGCTGCCTGGTAGAAGTACAGAAAGAGACTTACCTGTCCTGGTAAACCAGGCAGTCCATCGGCTCCTCTTTCTCCGGGCAGTCCAGGTAGACCAGGCTCACCGTCGGCTCCAGGGCGCCCTTGATAAAACTCCTGTGGGGCCGGCTGACCTGGTGGTCCCATTGGACCAGGAGGTCCAGGAAGACCAACTTCACCACCTTCACCTTTCGCTCCAGGAATACCCGGCAGACCAGGAGTGCTGTCTCCAGGAGGGCCTTGTGCGCCAGGAATGCCCATCTAAATAATACAGTTTAACATCCGAGCAAATAGCACGTCTTGACGGCACAAAAGTGTATTGAAATACCAGTCCATCCCGTCCTCTTTTGCCATCAATGCCCATCAGTCCTTTTTCACCTGGGTATCCTGGAAGGCCATCCAGTCCTGGCAAACCTGGCGGTCCATCTCGACCAGGATTACCTGGTCGTCCAGGCAGACCTGAAATCATTGATTGCATTTTTCGAGGGTTTCTATCTTTGATTTGGTGATCTCAATTGCACAATTGTTAAAAGGGCCACAGAAGTGGGGTAGCATACGAACTGCGCAGTGGAAGAACGTGAGTTCCACTCTGTGAGCTTCATCGCGAGGACTTTTGAGTAGAAAAGTGGCTAGTGAACTGACACCTACGTTTCATTGTGCGAGCCACAGCAAGGTGGATCACAGATGGAATCACCCTAGATAGCAACAAAACGACACAGGTTGATACATATAGACATGATACCAGTAAACGATAGGGCGTATGAA